AAATGCGGGAGCTTCTGCAGGAAATGGCAAACAATAAAAAAGCCATGGAAAATAAAATACAACTACTTGCACGTGCACTGAATGATATTCAACAAGATCTTTGAAGATTATTAATATTTACTCTAAAAACATGTATTACACAAGCTTAAGCAGTTTCATACACTACAATGCACTTTTCCTTGTTTTCTAGAGAATTGTCTTTGTTGTTTATTTTGGTGGTTCAGGGATCAGACATAAATGTTTTTATGTTATATTCATAATAAATAGTTATTTCTAAGCTATGTTTATCTTTAATTGATTACAAAATGAATCAAAACAGGTATAGGTGAAAAGCATCATATGAAATTAGGAATTTGCATGTTTAATAAGAGAAAAGAAAGTTGGAAAGTTCTAAGCCAAGAGCTTGAAGCTTTGCTTCACTGCGGTAAAGAATCTTGTAATGAGAGATCCAAGAATGTTGAATCATAGAATGACTTGGGTTGGAAAGGACCTTCAAGATCATCTAGTTCCAAACCCCTTGCCATGAACAGGGAACCTTCTGCTAGATCACGTTGCTTAGAGCTTCATCCAGCCTGGCCTGGAACACTTCCAGGGATGGGGCATCCACAGTTTCTCTGGGCAACCTGTTCCAGTGCCTCACCACCCTCACAGGAAGGAATTTTTTTCTAACACCTAATCTAAAACTACTCTCAGTTTAAAACCATTCCCCCTTTTCCTGTCACTACATGAGAAATAGACTCTCTTCATCTTTCTTGTATCTGTGAAGTTTAATCTGCCACTGTTGAAGAATGCATGACTACTGCAACTTAGAGTGGCTCTTTTGGCAGCATAGTTTGGTTTTCTCTATAGCAATAGGCTTCCCACCATGCTTTTGAAAAATAGGAGATAATGACCTAACAGCTTCTTATGGAAGCAAATCATAAACCTTATGTTAATACATTGTTATACTTCTTTCATGATGGAGGCTTAACCATCACCACTGTACTTAGGCATTTACTTCATTTGTTTGTTCTCAGAAGATCCTAAACTGTTACTGAACTACACTGTACTCAGAAGCGTTTCATGATCCACTAGTAAATAAAACAGTGAGTAGTAAAATTGAGTGCTTTTTGGCACACCAGGCGGAGCTATTCCCACCTTGCACCTCACAGTAGTTGAAGTGAAGTGCTGTTGCTCCAAGGATAGAAGCTACTTAGCTGATTTAATCAGCTCGTTCAGAACCTGGGCATTCAAGCAGTGACACTGCATCTGTATGTGCCTTTTTGTGCCCAGCAGTCCTGTAAAAGTACTTAGTGCTAGTAAAAGGCCCTGGCCTTTAGCTATGAGGCCCACTGGACTTGTTATCAACGTGTTAATGAAAGCTTGTTGTGTGAACTGGAGCTTGATACCAGCTGCCTCTTGTTATGAGGTCCAGCTTAAGTGTGGGATGTAGCAAAGGCCTTGAAAACACAGGCACAAGTTGAAAGTAGAGGCCATGGAAGCAAAAACAACTTTCTGATGGTCAGTGACTGGTCTTTCACAAAGCACAACCTTGAAAGCTGGGAACAGACTACTTTTGTTTTTAGAATGGAAGCAGCAGCAAAGCAAAAGAAAAGGCAGCCCAACAACACCTGAATGAGGTGCCTGCAACAGCCTGGGAAAACAACCCCCACTCCACAGGGTGGAGGTGGAGGGCTGGGAATTGTATAGAGATTATAAAAGGGTAAAATTCCAAACTGGGGGGGGACACACATAACACACAGAGAAAACAGGCACCTGCTTCAGCTCTGTCTCCTTGCATCCGGAGTTCTCACACCTGACCCATGAGAACACCATGAACAAGCCATCAGCACTGAAGGGGAGGTGTCTACACTGTGGTACTCCCAGCTCAGATAGGATAGAGCTGTTAAGGATTGTTCACTTGGAATCTGTGCTACTGGTTGATGATATGTAAAAATTAATACATAGTGGCAATGGTTAGCAAGGTGTAGGAACCAACTCTAATTAACCAATTGTGTTAATGAATGTTAGTCCAGTAAATATTGCTGTGAACTTTAAAATTAGCCTAATTTATTCTTCTAGCAGAATCCTTTATCTGCTAGGTGATCTCTTGATTCCCTGATACCAAAGGCAGAAGAAAATTATTTCTTATTCTTGTCTCTACACACTCCTTCAGAAACTGCAGTATATGAGGAAATACTCACTTGGAAAACTGGCCTATAGTATTTTCATGGGTATCACTGGTGCAGAAAACTTGCACCACTTGAGAGTGCATTCTGTCATGTTTATCTAGTATTTCCTTGAGCATTTCTTTTTTCTTTGCTTATTATTTGACCAAGCTACACTTTGGGCGAAGTAATTGAGTAACTGGAATGCACCATGAAGTTGAAAGAACTTACCCTAATTCAGTGTACTAGTATCTCCTCTGAGTTTTTACTCCAAAATGTTTGTTCTGAAACTTTTCTGATTTCATCAGAGGGAGTTGTTAAAATTTTTAGTATAAATTCTTTCTATTCCTTGCTCTTGGCTCAGAAATCTCATACTGCAGTACTTGAGTACATGCACATGTTAGTACTGCTTGGAATGTTTGTTTTTCTTGTGGCTAACTGGCATCATTTCCCTCTTTATGCTTACATGGCTCCCTTAGAGCTTTTTAATAAGCATTTAAATGATTTCTAGCTTTGAAAGGTTAAAACAATAAAAATGTGGTGCAGGTGAAAGCTGTGCCAAATTTACCAATTCATGAGGATGAATTTTAATCTGACATTACTGTAAGGTATAAATTAATAAATAGATAAAAATATAAACAAATTGGAAACTCTGACCTCATCAGATGCAAGGCATGCTCTCGTGCATTAATCGTGACAACTTAAAATCAGTTCTGCTGTGTTAAGAACTGGCTGGAGGGACGGGCCCAGAGAGTGGTGGTGAACGGGGCTGCATCCAGTTGGCAGCCAGTCACTAGTGGTGTCCCCCAGGGATCAGTGTCGGGCCCAGTTCTGTTTAATATCTTTATTGATGATCTGGATGAGGGGATCAAGTGTACCATTAGCAAACTTGCAGATGACACCAAGTTGGGGGGGAGCGTTGATCAGCTGGAAGGCAGGAGGGCTCTGCAGAGGGACCTGGACAAGCTGGAGAGATGGCCTTGTTGAACCTCATCCCGTTGGAACCAGCCCAACTCT